GTTGGCATTTTTTCTGGTAATCTGAGCTGGTGGTGCCGGGATGTTGCTGAGACTGCAACATAGGCCTGAATATTTTTTTTACATTTTTTATTTATTTTATTTTTAGTTTTTAAGTTTTTTGATTTTATAATTTTTTTCTTTTTTTTAATAATTTTAAATAATTTATTTCATGTGATGGAGTATATGGACCCCGACCGCCCGACCTGCCGACTATTGGGCCTGGACAGCGATTCACGTACACTAGCAGACAACATTTATATTATTGTATAGTTTTCATATTCATTGTATGTACTAGATTAACTTTTTATACTATTAGTCCATTTATGTAATCAGGTCTGTTGGGTCCATATTAGAGGTCCAGACCCGAATTTCCCTATATATACTCCTTATAGGAGGCATGTAAACCTAAGTCATAGAAAACATTTTCATCCATTCTATACATTATCTCCTTCTCAATTCTTTGTTCATCTCTCCTAATTTATACAATATGGGTATCAATTATCCATCAATGGTGCTCTTGTTGAGAGGTTTGAACACAATCAAGTGAGAAAACCTCCCAAAAACAACAAAAAATTCACCCAAATCACAAGAAATCAGTCAACAACAGGTTTGAAAATGTCAAGAACAGCAAAAAAAACTGGAGATGAAATATTTGAGCCACCGAGAACTGCCACGTCCCATCTGCCATCTGCCAGTGCATCTGCTAAAGTTTGCGACGTCGTACCAGGCCTCGTCGCCGTCTTTCCGAACCCAGCACTGTTGTCGCTCCAGGCTTGCAGCTTCCCATCCAGATCTGCGCCCACCTACTTGTCCGCAGCGTTGTGGAGGTCGATGCCCTACAAACCACCTCCGATATCATGTTGGTCGCCTTCGCAGCTAGAGAATCGGACCTGGGCCACTCCATAGTCATCTGACTCAGTCGCTCGAGCTTAGGAGGCCTTAAACATCCGCCACTAATGACAGCCAAAAGCTTTAGGAGTGATAGAACGCGAACCAGTCCAACCATATGGATATGGAACTCTCACGTCGACCAAAAGCGTCGTCGTCCCTCATCGTCACCTGAGCAAGCATCGCCGGTGCTAACGGAGTCCTGACGACATCGCTTTCGATTGTTGCACTCTGTCGTTGGGTCTGTCAGAGGAAGCTTCCCCGCTAGTAGCGTCTGGGAGGGCCTCGCCGCCATCTTCCCCGGTAGCTGTGGACGGCTCCCTTGGACGATCTACAGTAACGGTGTGCTACTTGGGTCTTAGCCGCAGAAGGCTTCCCACTTGCCAGACGTAGAGGGGGGAAGTTTTTGCAGCAGATTATCAGCTAGGTCAAAATAGGTGGTGGGCCTCCTCAACAAATCAAAGTTCCAATCTCTACGGATGCCCATTAAATCAGCCCACTCCAAAAAGATAAGCACTCTTTAATTTTCATATTATTTATATTTTTTTAAATCATTTCTTTTTGTCGGACGAATGTCAAACTATCACACAATTATGATCAAATGCCCAGTAGGGTACGGCCACAAAGCAAAGGAGGGTACGGCCTCTCAGCTCCGTCGTCCTCAGATCACGAACGTCGCCCCAACGTGATCCTCTGTATCAAGACCGGCTTCCTCAACGCCGAGTGTCTTGAGCCAGCAATTGGGCTCGCCATCCTTTCCTGGATGGTGGCCATCGCCTTCATATGACGAACGACTTCATCAACGCCTTTTCATCATTTATTGGACCGGCTCATCATCGCCGACGTTCTCATATCACGACCATCCCTTCAGCTACGACGTGATTATCTGCATCAAGGTTGGCTCCTCAGCGCCGAAGCCTTGATCTAGCGATTGGGCTCGCCACCCCTTCCTGGATGGTGACCATCGCCTCTATATGACGATCGGCTTCATTACTGCCATTGTCCTCAGGTCACGAACGGTCCCTCAGCCTCCGTGTGATTCCGTATCTCAAGAGCAGTCTCAGCCATTCCTTGACGGCGACTGTTGCATGGATTTTCGGACCGGCCCCTCAGTGTCGTCGTCCTCATATCACGACCGGCCCCTCGGCCTTGACGCAATTATTTACCTCAAGACAGGCTCCCAGCACCAAAATCTTGTTGTGGCGACTAGACTTGCCATTCCCTTCCTGGATCGCGACCGTCGCCTTCATATGACGCATGACTCATCACCACCGTCATCCTCATATTTAGACAGGCGTACACCACCTCATCCTCATGATCAGACAGGCGTCCATCGCCTCGTCCTCAGATTCGGACCAGCTCATCAGCGCCGTTGTCCTCACCAGTAGAAAGGCGTCCCCTCAGCAGACGGACACCGCAACAACTCCACACCCAGGCCAAAGGGTACGGTTCACCCCTTGGAGTTCATTTTGGGGGCATCCGGTGTACTCTTTTTCCCTCATTAGGATTTTTTCCCACACGGTTTTTCCTAATGAGGTTTTTAACGAGGCATCTCCCCATTGTGGATCAAAAGGTGTCAACCCTCGACCGCCTATTTGAAGCCGTGCATTGCTCTACTCCTTTTCACCTCATTACGTGAGCCTCGAGGACTGGGGGACTGTATCGGCCTCCTCGTACATGAAAACATTCCAGAAAAATGCACTTCCAAAAAATATGAACACAAGCCAATGTCAATGGTATTTCAACGTCCACAATCATGTGGTCACCCTTCGGCCAAGCCAAAGTGCAAAACAGGACGTACACCGTCCTCAAGGTCAAGGACACTCCTTGTCCTTAAGGCCAATGCCATCCATCGTCCTCGAAACAAAGGACATTCATCGTCCTCAAAATGAGGAACATTCACCGTCCTCGAAATGAGGGACAAAGCAGCCAACAATTATGGCACCACCTCGGCCTCGAAATGAAGGACGTTCTTGACGACTCAGTTATGGCATAGCCTCGGTTAGAAACGCCAGAACTCCCACCCAACCATCCGTAGGCCAAAAAGCATCAAGACAACAAGGACCTACTCCCTTTCACTTCGTCTACATCTCAGCTCAGAGAGTGGGGGGACTCCTGATGGAGTATATGGGTCCAGACCCCATGACCCACATACTCCCACTACTGTGAACAGGCCCAATAGGCCCAAGTGGCCTAAACACAACAAACAAGTACTCGGGGATGTACGGCCTTTGGCACATGAAGGCCCCCGGGATACGTACGACCTTCAGCACATTACGGTCCCCCGGGGATGTACGGCCTTCGGTACATGGGAGACCCCGGGGACGTACGACCTTCGGCACAATACGGTCCCTCGGGGACGTACGGCCTTCGGTACATGGAAGACCCCGGGGACGTACGACCTTCAGCACATTACGGTCCCCGGGGATGTATGGCCTTCGGTACATGGGAGACCCTGGGGACGTACGACCTTCAGCGCATTACGGTCCCCCGGGAACGTACGGCCTTCGATACATGGAAGACCCTAGGGACGTACGACCTTCAACACATTACGGTCCCCCAGGGACGTACGGCCTTTGGTACATGGAAGACCCCGGGGACGTACGACCTTCAGCACATGGAAGACCCCGGGGACGTACGACCTTCAACACATGGAAGACCCCGGAGATGTACGTCCTTCAACACATAACGGTTCCCCGGGGACGTACGGCCTTCAGCACTACCTCCGTCAGCCAGACGTTCGTCTCCCGGACCTTTGTCTGCCACACCTCCGTCAGACAGACGTCCGTCTCCCAGACCTTCGTCTGCCACACCTCCATCAGCCAGACGTTCGTCGGCCACAGGGAGCTCACAGAGCCAGACTTCCATACTTAGCTTATGTATTCGAATGTAATCAGCCCGATAGAGACCTTATATTGTAATGGGGCTCCCAAGCCCAAAACTTGGGAGGTCAACCCATATTTTCCCTATAAATACTCCCCTTGGGAGTAGGTCTAAGGGTTCGAAAATCATTAATACAAATCACTTCTCTCTAGCTCTCACTTCTCTCTAGACATATAATCTATCATCATGTTTTTTATTTTTTTATTTTACATTTTTATTATAAATAAAGTTACGTTATTACTTTTATATTTTAATTATTAATGAAATATGAATTGTATTAAAATAAAGTAAGGATAGAATTGAAAATTAAGTTCTATTTAGAAATTTTTTAAGTTATGATTCTATTTTGCCGATTAAAATTTCAGTTAATGGAACTTCTACCTTTTTTTTATAGTTGGGAGAACTATCAAATAAGCCCTCAAACTTTCATAAAAAGTGCAAATAAGCCCTTTTACAGGAGGCTTTGTCCAGCTGTCGCCATTTGGGGAGGTTTTCGGTGGAATTTTTTGATGAAATTTTTTGATCATCTTCTTCATTATATCTAGTTTAACAATACCAAATTTCAGCTAAAAGTTCAATCGAGAAGGCAGACTAATTATTTTCTGAAATATATTGCGTTGTCTAACTGCGCAGTTATCTTCAAAAATTCATCTGACTGCTTTACCGATTGAATTTTTAGCTGCAATTTGGTAAGAGTAAACTAGACTTAATGAAGAAGATACTCAAAACAAATCATCAAAAAATTCCACCGGGAACCGCCCCAAATAGCGACGGCCGGACAGAGCCTCCTACAAAAGGGCTTATTTGCACTTTTATGAAAGTTCGGGGGCTTATTTGATAGTTCTCCCTTTATAGTTTGATATGATGTAATCTCGAATAGATGCTATTTTATTAAAAAAAAGGATGCCATCCCATTCCTGAGAGGCCCCAACTCCGACCGAACGGTACGTTGGGAGGATGTAAGTTGAACTATAATCCCAATCTGACACATAGAGAGTCAGACTCTGTCCCCGGTATTTGCAGAGGTCCTATGCATTTTTTAGAATAATAACCTCTCATTTTTTAGCCAAACAATTTAAGATAGTGGGTATTGTGTGGTGGAAAGTTGTGCAGAGAAAAGAGAAATGTTGTGAACCACAAATTCTTTATCAAAAAGAGAAAATGGAAATTTTAATTGGAACCGACGAAAAAAGAAAGTTCATCTACTCATAAGATCAAACCAACGATCTGTTCATCTACTCAACCTCAAAGCTCACTCTCTCCCAACGCGCGTCGCCGCCCTTACCCGCTCAATGGTCACCCCCGCAATTACCCGTCTGGGATGGATTGGCACCGGCGTAATGGGCCGATCTATGTGTTCCCACTTGATAAAGGCAGGATATGAGCTCACCATCTTCACCAGGACCCGGAGCAAAGCTCAAGAGCTCATTTCCATGGGGGCGCAATGGGCTGACTCGCCGAGATCTGTTGCTTCCAAATCGGACGTCGTATTCTCCATCGTCGGCTACCCGTCAGACGTTCGACACGTCATCCTCGATCCTGAGTCCGGCGCACTCTCCGGCCTCAGCCAAGGCGGCGTCGTGGTCGACATGACCACCTCTGATCCCTCTCTCGCAGTCGAAATCCACTCAGCTGCGACCTCCGCCGGCTGCTCCGCAATAGACGCCCCCGTTTCCGGCGGCGATCGGGGAGCCCGCAACGCAGCACTTTCAATCTTCGCCGGCGGGGACCAAACTCTAGTTCAGCGGCTCTCTCCTATCCTTTCCCTCATGGGCAGGGTTTACTACATGGGTACCCCTGGAAAAGGCCAATTCGCCAAACTGGCAAATCAAATAACCATAGCTTCGACCATGGTTGGGCTATGCGAAGGCCTTATATATGCCCACAAAGCAGGTTTGGATTTGGAATTATATCTGAATGCAATCTCAATGGGAGCTGCAGGATCAAAATCACTGGACTTGTATGGGAGGAGAATAGTCGGCAGAGATATGGATCCGGGGTTTTATGTGAATCACTTTGTTAAAGATTTGGGAATCTGCTTAAAAGAGTGTGAGAACATGTCTTTGGCATTGCCTGGATTAGCATTGGCACATCAGCTTTATCTATCGCTTAAGGCTTACGGAGAAGGCCATTTAGGCACTCAAGCTCTTGTGTTGGCGTTGGAGAGGCTTAACAATATATCCCTGCATACTTCTTCTTCTACACAAGTTTAGATTGGTAAAAAATTAGACTTTGATCTTGATCTGGCCTTAAGTTTATATCCCGCTACCTGTGTTGTGAGTACGGTAAAATTATCTTGTTTTCATGGTTGTGATGTTATCCTATTCAATTCAATGGTTCATCGTGTTTCCTACCTGAGAAAGATTATGAGGAATGGTGCCAACCAAACCTACTTAAATTACCCTTAATCTTTTACTCCTTATTTCCTCTCTTCTTCGACAAACCCAACCAAACTCTTGTTTCATACATAGGGGACCCAGCCAATGTCAATGGTATTTCAACGTCCACAATCATGTGGTCACCCTTCGGCCAAGCCAAAGTGCAAAACAGGACGTACACCGTCCTCAAGGTCAAGGACACTCCTTGTCCTTAAGGCCAATGCCATCCATCGTCCTCGAAACAAAGGACATTCATCGTCCTCAAAATGAGGAACATTCACCGTCCTCGAAATGAGGGACAAAGCAGCCAACAATTATGGCACCACCTCGGCCTCGAAATGAAGGACGTTCTTGACGACTCAGTTATGGCATAGCCTCGGTTAGAAACGCCAGAACTCCCACCCAACCATCCGTAGGCCAAAAAGCATCAAGACAACAAGGACCTACTCCCTTTCACTTCGTCTACATCTCAGCTCAGAGAGTGGGGGGACTCCTGATGGAGTATATGGGTCCAGACCCCATGACCCACATACTCCCACTACTGTGAACAGGCCCAATAGGCCCAAGTGGCCTAAACACAACAAACAAGTACTCGGGGATGTACGGCCTTTGGCACATGAAGGCCCCCGGGATACGTACGACCTTCAGCACATTACGGTCCCCCGGGGATGTACGGCCTTCGGTACATGGGAGACCCCGGGGACGTACGACCTTCGGCACAATACGGTCCCTCGGGGACGTACGGCCTTCGGTACATGGAAGACCCCGGGGACGTACGACCTTCAGCACATTACGGTCCCCGGGGATGTATGGCCTTCGGTACATGGGAGACCCTGGGGACGTACGACCTTCAGCGCATTACGGTCCCCCGGGAACGTACGGCCTTCGATACATGGAAGACCCTAGGGACGTACGACCTTCAACACATTACGGTCCCCCAGGGACGTACGGCCTTTGGTACATGGAAGACCCCGGGGACGTACGACCTTCAGCACATGGAAGACCCCGGGGACGTACGACCTTCAACACATGGAAGACCCCGGAGATGTACGTCCTTCAACACATAACGGTTCCCCGGGGACGTACGGCCTTCAGCACTACCTCCGTCAGCCAGACGTTCGTCTCCCGGACCTTTGTCTGCCACACCTCCGTCAGACAGACGTCCGTCTCCCAGACCTTCGTCTGCCACACCTCCATCAGCCAGACGTTCGTCGGCCACAGGGAGCTCACAGAGCCAGACTTCCATACTTAGCTTATGTATTCGAATGTAATCAGCCCGATAGAGACCTTATATTGTAATGGGGCTCCCAAGCCCAAAACTTGGGAGGTCAACCCATATTTTCCCTATAAATACTCCCCTTGGGAGTAGGTCTAAGGGTTCGAAAATCATTAATACAAATCACTTCTCTCTAGCTCTCACTTCTCTCTAGACATATAATCTATCATCATGTTTTTTATTTTTTTATTTTACATTTTTATTATAAATAAAGTTACGTTATTACTTTTATATTTTAATTATTAATGAAATATGAATTGTATTAAAATAAAGTAAGGATAGAATTGAAAATTAAGTTCTATTTAGAAATTTTTTAAGTTATGATTCTATTTTGCCGATTAAAATTTCAGTTAATGGAACTTCTACCTTTTTTTTATAGTTGGGAGAACTATCAAATAAGCCCTCAAACTTTCATAAAAAGTGCAAATAAGCCCTTTTACAGGAGGCTTTGTCCAGCTGTCGCCATTTGGGGAGGTTTTCGGTGGAATTTTTTGATGAAATTTTTTGATCATCTTCTTCATTATATCTAGTTTAACAATACCAAATTTCAGCTAAAAGTTCAATCGAGAAGGCAGACTAATTATTTTCTGAAATATATTGCGTTGTCTAACTGCGCAGTTATCTTCAAAAATTCATCTGACTGCTTTACCGATTGAATTTTTAGCTGCAATTTGGTAAGAGTAAACTAGACTTAATGAAGAAGATACTCAAAACAAATCATCAAAAAATTCCACCGGGAACCGCCCCAAATAGCGACGGCCGGACAGAGCCTCCTACAAAAGGGCTTATTTGCACTTTTATGAAAGTTCGGGGGCTTATTTGATAGTTCTCCCTTTATAGTTTGATATGATGTAATCTCGAATAGATGCTATTTTATTAAAAAAAAGGATGCCATCCCATTCCTGAGAGGCCCCAACTCCGACCGAACGGTACGTTGGGAGGATGTAAGTTGAACTATAATCCCAATCTGACACATAGAGAGTCAGACTCTGTCCCCGGTATTTGCAGAGGTCCTATGCATTTTTTAGAATAATAACCTCTCATTTTTTAGCCAAACAATTTAAGATAGTGGGTATTGTGTGGTGGAAAGTTGTGCAGAGAAAAGAGAAATGTTGTGAACCACAAATTCTTTATCAAAAAGAGAAAATGGAAATTTTAATTGGAACCGACGAAAAAAGAAAGTTCATCTACTCATAAGATCAAACCAACGATCTGTTCATCTACTCAACCTCAAAGCTCACTCTCTCCCAACGCGCGTCGCCGCCCTTACCCGCTCAATGGTCACCCCCGCAATTACCCGTCTGGGATGGATTGGCACCGGCGTAATGGGCCGATCTATGTGTTCCCACTTGATAAAGGCAGGATATGAGCTCACCATCTTCACCAGGACCCGGAGCAAAGCTCAAGAGCTCATTTCCATGGGGGCGCAATGGGCTGACTCGCCGAGATCTGTTGCTTCCAAATCGGACGTCGTATTCTCCATCGTCGGCTACCCGTCAGACGTTCGACACGTCATCCTCGATCCTGAGTCCGGCGCACTCTCCGGCCTCAGCCAAGGCGGCGTCGTGGTCGACATGACCACCTCTGATCCCTCTCTCGCAGTCGAAATCCACTCAGCTGCGACCTCCGCCGGCTGCTCCGCAATAGACGCCCCCGTTTCCGGCGGCGATCGGGGAGCCCGCAACGCAGCACTTTCAATCTTCGCCGGCGGGGACCAAACTCTAGTTCAGCGGCTCTCTCCTATCCTTTCCCTCATGGGCAGGGTTTACTACATGGGTACCCCTGGAAAAGGCCAATTCGCCAAACTGGCAAATCAAATAACCATAGCTTCGACCATGGTTGGGCTATGCGAAGGCCTTATATATGCCCACAAAGCAGGTTTGGATTTGGAATTATATCTGAATGCAATCTCAATGGGAGCTGCAGGATCAAAATCACTGGACTTGTATGGGAGGAGAATAGTCGGCAGAGATATGGATCCGGGGTTTTATGTGAATCACTTTGTTAAAGATTTGGGAATCTGCTTAAAAGAGTGTGAGAACATGTCTTTGGCATTGCCTGGATTAGCATTGGCACATCAGCTTTATCTATCGCTTAAGGCTTACGGAGAAGGCCATTTAGGCACTCAAGCTCTTGTGTTGGCGTTGGAGAGGCTTAACAATATATCCCTGCATACTTCTTCTTCTACACAAGTTTAGATTGGTAAAAAATTAGACTTTGATCTTGATCTGGCCTTAAGTTTATATCCCGCTACCTGTGTTGTGAGTACGGTAAAATTATCTTGTTTTCATGGTTGTGATGTTATCCTATTCAATTCAATGGTTCATCGTGTTTCCTACCTGAGAAAGATTATGAGGAATGGTGCCAACCAAACCTACTTAAATTACCCTTAATCTTTTACTCCTTATTTCCTCTCTTCTTCGACAAACCCAACCAAACTCTTGTTTCATACATAGGGGACCCAGCCAATGTCAATGGTATTTCAACGTCCACAATCATGTGGTCACCCTTCGGCCAAGCCAAAGTGCAAAACAGGACGTACACCGTCCTCAAGGTCAAGGACACTCCTTGTCCTTAAGGCCAATGCCATCCATCGTCCTCGAAACAAAGGACATTCATCGTCCTCAAAATGAGGAACATTCACCGTCCTCGAAATGAGGGACAAAGCAGCCAACAATTATGGCACCACCTCGGCCTCGAAATGAAGGACGTTCTTGACGACTCAGTTATGGCATAGCCTCGGTTAGAAACGCCAGAACTCCCACCCAACCATCCGTAGGCCAAAAAGCATCAAGACAACAAGGACCTACTCCCTTTCACTTCGTCTACATCTCAGCTCAGAGAGTGGGGGGACTCCTGATGGAGTATATGGGTCCAGACCCCATGACCCACATACTCCCACTACTGTGAACAGGCCCAATAGGCCCAAGTGGCCTAAACACAACAAACAAGTACTCGGGGATGTACGGCCTTTGGCACATGAAGGCCCCCGGGATACGTACGACCTTCAGCACATTACGGTCCCCCGGGGATGTACGGCCTTCGGTACATGGGAGACCCCGGGGACGTACGACCTTCGGCACAATACGGTCCCTCGGGGACGTACGGCCTTCGGTACATGGAAGACCCCGGGGACGTACGACCTTCAGCACATTACGGTCCCCGGGGATGTATGGCCTTCGGTACATGGGAGACCCTGGGGACGTACGACCTTCAGCGCATTACGGTCCCCCGGGAACGTACGGCCTTCGATACATGGAAGACCCTAGGGACGTACGACCTTCAACACATTACGGTCCCCCAGGGACGTACGGCCTTTGGTACATGGAAGACCCCGGGGACGTACGACCTTCAGCACATGGAAGACCCCGGGGACGTACGACCTTCAACACATGGAAGACCCCGGAGATGTACGTCCTTCAACACATAACGGTTCCCCGGGGACGTACGGCCTTCAGCACTACCTCCGTCAGCCAGACGTTCGTCTCCCGGACCTTTGTCTGCCACACCTCCGTCAGACAGACGTCCGTCTCCCAGACCTTCGTCTGCCACACCTCCATCAGCCAGACGTTCGTCGGCCACAGGGAGCTCACAGAGCCAGACTTCCATACTTAGCTTATGTATTCGAATGTAATCAGCCCGATAGAGACCTTATATTGTAATGGGGCTCCCAAGCCCAAAACTTGGGAGGTCAACCCATATTTTCCCTATAAATACTCCCCTTGGGAGTAGGTCTAAGGGTTCGAAAATCATTAATACAAATCACTTCTCTCTAGCTCTCACTTCTCTCTAGACATATAATCTATCATCATGTTTTTTATTTTTTTATTTTACATTTTTATTATAAATAAAGTTACGTTATTACTTTTATATTTTAATTATTAATGAAATATGAATTGTATTAAAATAAAGTAAGGATAGAATTGAAAATTAAGTTCTATTTAGAAATTTTTTAAGTTATGATTCTATTTTGCCGATTAAAATTTCAGTTAATGGAACTTCTACCTTTTTTTTATAGTTGGGAGAACTATCAAATAAGCCCTCAAACTTTCATAAAAAGTGCAAATAAGCCCTTTTACAGGAGGCTTTGTCCAGCTGTCGCCATTTGGGGAGGTTTTCGGTGGAATTTTTTGATGAAATTTTTTGATCATCTTCTTCATTATATCTAGTTTAACAATACCAAATTTCAGCTAAAAGTTCAATCGAGAAGGCAGACTAATTATTTTCTGAAATATATTGCGTTGTCTAACTGCGCAGTTATCTTCAAAAATTCATCTGACTGCTTTACCGATTGAATTTTTAGCTGCAATTTGGTAAGAGTAAACTAGACTTAATGAAGAAGATACTCAAAACAAATCATCAAAAAATTCCACCGGGAACCGCCCCAAATAGCGACGGCCGGACAGAGCCTCCTACAAAAGGGCTTATTTGCACTTTTATGAAAGTTCGGGGGCTTATTTGATAGTTCTCCCTTTATAGTTTGATATGATGTAATCTCGAATAGATGCTATTTTATTAAAAAAAAGGATGCCATCCCATTCCTGAGAGGCCCCAACTCCGACCGAACGGTACGTTGGGAGGATGTAAGTTGAACTATAATCCCAATCTGACACATAGAGAGTCAGACTCTGTCCCCGGTATTTGCAGAGGTCCTATGCATTTTTTAGAATAATAACCTCTCATTTTTTAGCCAAACAATTTAAGATAGTGGGTATTGTGTGGTGGAAAGTTGTGCAGAGAAAAGAGAAATGTTGTGAACCACAAATTCTTTATCAAAAAGAGAAAATGGAAATTTTAATTGGAACCGACGAAAAAAGAAAGTTCATCTACTCATAAGATCAAACCAACGATCTGTTCATCTACTCAACCTCAAAGCTCACTCTCTCCCAACGCGCGTCGCCGCCCTTACCCGCTCAATGGTCACCCCCGCAATTACCCGTCTGGGATGGATTGGCACCGGCGTAATGGGCCGATCTATGTGTTCCCACTTGATAAAGGCAGGATATGAGCTCACCATCTTCACCAGGACCCGGAGCAAAGCTCAAGAGCTCATTTCCATGGGGGCGCAATGGGCTGACTCGCCGAGATCTGTTGCTTCCAAATCGGACGTCGTATTCTCCATCGTCGGCTACCCGTCAGACGTTCGACACGTCATCCTCGATCCTGAGTCCGGCGCACTCTCCGGCCTCAGCCAAGGCGGCGTCGTGGTCGACATGACCACCTCTGATCCCTCTCTCGCAGTCGAAATCCACTCAGCTGCGACCTCCGCCGGCTGCTCCGCAATAGACGCCCCCGTTTCCGGCGGCGATCGGGGAGCCCGCAACGCAGCACTTTCAATCTTCGCCGGCGGGGACCAAACTCTAGTTCAGCGGCTCTCTCCTATCCTTTCCCTCATGGGCAGGGTTTACTACATGGGTACCCCTGGAAAAGGCCAATTCGCCAAACTGGCAAATCAAATAACCATAGCTTCGACCATGGTTGGGCTATGCGAAGGCCTTATATATGCCCACAAAGCAGGTTTGGATTTGGAATTATATCTGAATGCAATCTCAATGGGAGCTGCAGGATCAAAATCACTGGACTTGTATGGGAGGAGAATAGTCGGCAGAGATATGGATCCGGGGTTTTATGTGAATCACTTTGTTAAAGATTTGGGAATCTGCTTAAAAGAGTGTGAGAACATGTCTTTGGCATTGCCTGGATTAGCATTGGCACATCAGCTTTATCTATCGCTTAAGGCTTACGGAGAAGGCCATTTAGGCACTCAAGCTCTTGTGTTGGCGTTGGAGAGGCTTAACAATATATCCCTGCATACTTCTTCTTCTACACAAGTTTAGATTGGTAAAAAATTAGACTTTGATCTTGATCTGGCCTTAAGTTTATATCCCGCTACCTGTGTTGTGAGTACGGTAAAATTATCTTGTTTTCATGGTTGTGATGTTATCCTATTCAATTCAATGGTTCATCGTGTTTCCTACCTGAGAAAGATTATGAGGAATGGTGCCAACCAAACCTACTTAAATTACCCTTAATCTTTTACTCCTTATTTCCTCTCTTCTTCGACAAACCCAACCAAACTCTTGTTTCATACATAGGGGACCCAGCCAATGTCAATGGTATTTCAACGTCCACAATCATGTGGTCACCCTTCGGCCAAGCCAAAGTGCAAAACAGGACGTACACCGTCCTCAAGGTCAAGGACACTCCTTGTCCTTAAGGCCAATGCCATCCATCGTCCTCGAAACAAAGGACATTCATCGTCCTCAAAATGAGGAACATTCACCGTCCTCGAAATGAGGGACAAAGCAGCCAACAATTATGGCACCACCTCGGCCTCGAAATGAAGGACGTTCTTGACGACTCAGTTATGGCATAGCCTCGGTTAGAAACGCCAGAACTCCCACCCAACCATCCGTAGGCCAAAAAGCATCAAGACAACAAGGACCTACTCCCTTTCACTTCGTCTACATCTCAGCTCAGAGAGTGGGGGGACTCCTGATGGAGTATATGGGTCCAGACCCCATGACCCACATACTCCCACTACTGTGAACAGGCCCAATAGGCCCAAGTGGCCTAAACACAACAAACAAGTACTCGGGGATGTACGGCCTTTGGCACATGAAGGCCCCCGGGATACGTACGACCTTCAGCACATTACGGTCCCCCGGGGATGTACGGCCTTCGGTACATGGGAGACCCCGGGGACGTACGACCTTCGGCACAATACGGTCCCTCGGGGACGTACGGCCTTCGGTACATGGAAGACCCCGGGGACGTACGACCTTCAGCACATTACGGTCCCCGGGGATGTATGGCCTTCGGTACATGGGAGACCCTGGGGACGTACGACCTTCAGCGCATTACGGTCCCCCGGGAACGTACGGCCTTCGATACATGGAAGACCCTAGGGACGTACGACCTTCAACACATTACGGTCCCCCAGGGACGTACGGCCTTTGGTACATGGAAGACCCCGGGGACGTACGACCTTCAGCACATGGAAGACCCCGGGGACGTACGACCTTCAACACATGGAAGACCCCGGAGATGTACGTCCTTCAACACATAACGGTTCCCCGGGGACGTACGGCCTTCAGCACTACCTCCGTCAGCCAGACGTTCGTCTCCCGGACCTTTGTCTGCCACACCTCCGTCAGACAGACGTCCGTCTCCCAGACCTTCGTCTGCCACACCTCCATCAGCCAGACGTTCGTCGGCCACAGGGAGCTCACAGAGCCAGACTTCCATACTTAGCTTATGTATTCGAATGTAATCAGCCCGATAGAGACCTTATATTGTAATGGGGCTCCCAAGCCCAAAACTTGGGAGGTCAACCCATATTTTCCCTATAAATACTCCCCTTGGGAGTAGGTCTAAGGGTTCGAAAATCATTAATACAAATCACTTCTCTCTAGCTCTCACTTCTCTCTAGACATATAATCTATCATCATGTTTTTTATTTTTTTATTTTACATTTTTATTATAAATAAAGTTACGTTATTACTTTTATATTTTAATTATTAATGAAATATGAATTGTATTAAAATAAAGTAAGGATAGAATTGAAAATTAAGTTCTATTTAGAAATTTTTTAAGTTATGATTCTATTTTGCCGATTAAAATTTCAGTTAATGGAACTTCTACCTTTTTTTTATAGTTGGGAGAACTATCAAATAAGCCCTCAAACTTTCATAAAAAGTGCAAATAAGCCCTTTTACAGGAGGCTTTGTCCAGCTGTCGCCATTTGGGGAGGTTTTCGGTGGAATTTTTTGATGAAATTTTTTGATCATCTTCTTCATTATATCTAGTTTAACAATACCAAATTTCAGCTAAAAGTTCAATCGAGAAGGCAGACTAATTATTTTCTGAAATATATTGCGTTGTCTAACTGCGCAGTTATCTTCAAAAATTCATCTGACTGCTTTACCGATTGAATTTTTAGCTGCAATTTGGTAAGAGTAAACTAGACTTAATGAAGAAGATACTCAAAACAAATCATCAAAAAATTCCACCGGGAACCGCCCCAAATAGCGACGGCCGGACAGAGCCTCCTACAAAAGGGCTTATTTGCACTTTTATGAAAGTTCGGGGGCTTATTTGATAGTTCTCCCTTTATAGTTTGATATGATGTAATCTCGAATAGATGCTATTTTATTAAAAAAAAGGATGCCATCCCATTCCTGAGAGGCCCCAACTCCGACCGAACGGTACGTTGGGAGGATGTAAGTTGAACTATAATCCCAATCTGACACATAGAGAGTCAGACTCTGTCCCCGGTATTTGCAGAGGTCCTATGCATTTTTTAGAATAATAACCTCTCATTTTTTAGCCAAACAATTTAAGATAGTGGGTATTGTGTGGTGGAAAGTTGTGCAGAGAAAAGAGAAATGTTGTGAACCACAAATTCTTTATCAAAAAGAGAAAATGGAAATTTTAATTGGAACCGACGAAAAAAGAAAGTTCATCTACTCATAAGATCAAACCAACGATCTGTTCATCTACTCAACCTCAAAGCTCACTCTCTCCCAACGCGCGTCGCCGCCCTTACCCGCTCAATGGTCACCCCCGCAATTACCCGTCTGGGATGGATTGGCACCGGCGTAATGGGCCGATCTATGTGTTCCCACTTGATAAAGGCAGGATATGAGCTCACCATCTTCACCAGGACCCGGAGCAAAGCTCAAGAGCTCATTTCCATGGGGGCGCAATGGGCTGACTCGCCGAGATCTGTTGCTTCCAAATCGGACGTCGTATTCTCCATCGTCGGCTACCCGTCAGACGTTCGACACGTCATCCTCGATCCTGAGTCCGGCGCACTCTCCGGCCTCAGCCAAGGCGGCGTCGTGGTCGACATGACCACCTCTGATCCCTCTCTCGCAGTCGAAATCCACTCAGCTGCGACCTCCGCCGGCTGCTCCGCAATAGACGCCCCCGTTTCCGGCGGCGATCGGGGAGCCCGCAACGCAGCACTTTCAATCTTCGCCGGCGGGGACCAAACTCTAGTTCAGCGGCTCTCTCCTATCCTTTCCCTCATGGGCAGGGTTTACTACATGGGTACCCCTGGAAAAGGCCAATTCGCCAAACTGGCAAATCAAATAACCATAGCTTCGACCATGGTTGGGCTATGCGAAGGCCTTATATATGCCCACAAAGCAGGTTTGGATTTGGAATTATATCTGAATGCAATCTCAATGGGAGCTGCAGGATCAAAATCACTGGACTTGTATGGGAGGAGAATAGTCGGCAGAGATATGGATCCGGGGTTTTATGTGAATCACTTTGTTAAAGATTTGGGAATCTGCTTAAAAGAGTGTGAGAACATGTCTTTGGCATTGCCTGGATTAGCATTGGCACATCAGCTTTATCTATCGCTTAAGGCTTACGGAGAAGGCCATTTAGGCACTCAAGCTCTTGTGTTGGCGTTGGAGAGGCTTAACAATATATCCCTGCATACTTCTTCTTCTACACAAGTTTAGATTGGTAAAAAATTAGACTTTGATCTTGATCTGGCCTTAAGTTTATATCCCGCTACCTGTGTTGTGAGTACGGTAAAATTATCTTGTTTTCATGGTTGTGATGTTATCCTATTCAATTCAATGGTTCATCGTGTTTCCTACCTGAGAAAGATTATGAGGAATGGTGCCAACCAAACCTACTTAAATTACCCTTAATCTTTTACTCCTTATTTCCTCTCTTCTTCGACAAACCCAACCAAACTCTTGTTTCATACATAGGGGACCCAGCCAATGTCAATGGTATTTCAACGTCCACAATCATGTGGTCACCCTTCGGCCAAGCCAAAGTGCAAAACAGGACGTACACCGTCCTCAAGGTCAAGGACACTCCTTGTCCTTAAGGCCAATGCCATCCATCGTCCTCGAAACAAAGGACATTCATCGTCCTCAAAATGAGGAACATTCACCGTCCTCGAAATGAGGGACAAAGCAGCCAACAATTATGGCACCACCTCGGCCTCGAAATGAAGGACGTTCTTGACGACTCAGTTATGGCATAGCCTCGGTTAGAAACGCCAGAACTCCCACCCAACCATCCGTAGGCCAAAAAGCATCAAGACAACAAGGACCTACTCCCTTTTACTTCGTCTACATCTCAGCTCAGAGAGTGGGGGGACTCCTGATGGAGTATATGGGTCCAGACCCCATGACCCACATACTCCCACTACTGTGAACAGGCCCAATAGGCCCAAGTGGCCTAAACACAACAAACAAGTACTCGGGGATGTACGGCCTTTGGCACATGAAGGCCCCCGGGATACGTACGACCTTCAGCACATTACGGTCCCCCGGGGATGTACGGCCTTCGGTACATGGGAGACCCCGGGGACGTACGACCTTCGGCACAATACGGTCCCTCGGGGACGTACGGCCTTCGGTACATGGAAGACCCCGGGGACGTACGACCTTCAGCACATTACGGTCCCCGGGGATGTATGGCCTTCGGTACATGGGAGACCCTGGGGACGTACGACCTTCAGCGCATTACGGTCCCCCGGGAACGTACGGCCTTCGATACATGGAAGACCCTAGGGACGTACGACCTTCAACACATTACGGTCCCCCAGGGACGTACGGCCTTTGGTACATGGAAGACCCCGGGGACGTACGACCTTCAGCACATGGAAGACCCCGGGGACGTACGACCTTCAACACATGGAAGACCCCGGAGATGTACGTCCTTCAACACATAACGGTTCCCCGGGGACGTACGGCCTTCAGCACTACCTCCGTCAGCCAGACGTTCGTCTCCCGGACCTTTGTCTGCCACACCTCCGTCAGACAGACGTCCGTCTCCCAGACCTTCGTCTGCCACACCTCCATCAGCCAGACGTTCGTCGGCCACAGGGAGCTCACAGAGCCAGACTTCCATACTTAGCTTATGTATTCGAATGTAATCACACACCGGAAATGTTTGAGTCAACGAAGTGCGATATTAAGACATGAGCTACTCCTCCTATCAGGTTAACCTTTTAGGATTTGGAACCCCGAGTCTTAACAATATTTTGTGGATCTCTTCTTCTTTTTCTCTTCCTTCTCCTCTCCTTCTCTTCTCCTTGTCTTCTTTTCTTCTGTCGTTGCTCTTTTTCTAGATCTGCTCTTCTTTTCTTCCGTCACTTATCCTTTCTCTCCATCTCCTTTTCTGTTTCGTAGATGTTCTGTAGTTTGTTTGACCGTGTGATAAACAATGTTCATTTTGGTTTATTGATGTTTTTCTGCAAACTGGTTTATTAATATTTTATTAATTTGCTTTACAAATCTTAACAATAGCGTTACCAAAAAAATCATAACTCTTGTTGGGTTTGTTTAATTTTTAATATTAATTGTTTTTTATTGATCTGTATTATTTGTTTGATTGCTTTGGACATTTACATTTTTTGTAGTGTTTGTATTATTTTTAACAATGTCATTGTCACAATAGTCATTTACGTCGTCATTGACATTGTCTTTATTACAATCTCTTATTTCGTAGATTCACATTGAAATTACGATTTTTATTATTTCACATTGTGATATTTGTTCATGACATTATAATACATTGTGCTTATTTCTATAAAAAATAGTGTGTTTTCATAAGATTGTCATGAACATCTGCGTTTACATTATCATTATTACAATGTTGAATTTATAACATTGACATTATTGTTGACATTTTAAATTTTTTATAGTATTGACATTGTCACGCACGAAGTCATTAACATTGACATCATTACACTGACATTATCAATGTCATTGATGTTGTCATCGTTACGCTAGTCGTTGACATTAACATTTGACACTGTCATTGACACGATAATTTCACAATATATCACACTGTAATCAATGAAAATAATGTCACCTCTTAACATTGTTTTAATGTTACTATCACAATGTCATACGACAATATAACAATATCATACGAGAAACAATGTCACACTTATACTATCACAATTCACAATGTCATACGACAGTGTCACAATTACATTATTTTAGTAATCGATAACAAAGGAAGATGAAAGAAGAAGAAGAAAAGAGGAAGAATAAGAAGAGAAAGACAAGAGGAAGAAGATCCAAAAGAAAAGAGGAAGAAGAAGCGAAAGATCGAGGTTGAGTACTCCCGCCGGCGACCACTTGGGTGATCGATGTCTCACATCGGTGACCACTTGGATGATATCCTGAGACGGCAACCGCTCTGGCGACAACCTGCAGCAGATCGGAATGAAACACAGCAGTGATGTGCGATTGGATGTCATTGTCGGCAAGTTGAATGGTTGTTGTGTGTGTTGGCGCTAGCAAAACATTTGCAGGGAGCGGCATCTTTAGGGGTGTTTTTGTCCGTTCATAAAAAATGAGTCCTATTTAGAGTTTAAAAAGTTCCTACTCCTATTTACCTTCCCAAGCATTGTTTTAGTCTTATCAAGTCTTTTTCCCAAAGATTATCTATTGCTATAAGGTGACTTGACCAAACTTTCTCCTATCCAAAACTGTCCAAGGGATCATCAATCTCACATTTTAAGTTTTCACAAATCAAAGTTAACTTCTCTGCTTGGCAAAACCTCTTCATCCTTTTTTGGAGGGAGGGGTTTAGAGTGCTTATTGCTCGGTCTAATAAAAAGGGGAAGTCTGATCTATTTCTTTCCCACAAAATTTCACTCACCTTTCATTCCAAACTTATTAACATACCCTCAGGCCTCAAGGATTCGAAATGTAAGGTTCGCATGGAAACTGCAGCTGAATCACATTGCAGGTACAATTGTTTGACTATTTAGATTCGTTTGCCTCCATTTATGTAAGACTATTGGTTCAGGATTTTATCTAAACTCATGGCTAGACCTGCACAAAAACGGCTTCGGGCCGGGCTGGGTTTTTTATAATTTTTTTGCCCATCATGTGTTGACGGGTCCGGCCCGGCCCGCAAAATGGGTCTAACCCCATGTCCATACTCGCCCGTAAGAGCGGGCAAGGTAGTCCACCGGGCCGCCCGGTCCGGGAAAACTTTAAAATTTTTCAGAATTTTTTTTTTATACTTTAAAAATAATATTACAACATTAAAAAATGATAATACGCTTATAATGTTTATAGGCTCACTACATACAAAAAAATACTTACACAAAAATAATAATGAGAAATTATATCTAAAATTTAAAATTCAAGCACAAAGTGTTATCTTTAAGTACAAAAATAGATATTATATTGGTTGGGCTAGTTCTTAAGAACTAAAAATTTAAATTAAACATAACAAACTATTAATATGTATAAAGAAAATTAGTAAATATAAATATACATGTGTACATGTAAATAAATAAATAAATTAGTGTATATATATATATATATATATATATATATAAATACATATATGTATTGTTGAGATTTATTCTTTCAACCCGTAGGCCCAACACACGACCCAATGGTTTCGAATGGAAGAAGTATTGAAGTAGATGGAGAAACAAGCAAGAAGGGCCCAATAAGAAATCTTAATGCACTGAAAGGGTTATAAGTCGAGAGGTCGTTCGTCTCCCGCTATGCTACGAGTTGTTACAATGCTAAACTATTAGGGTGCTAAGTTGCCAACCCTTTACAATGAAATAAATACTTTTATTTATACCGTCAATGGGTAGTTGGATGCGTTGACATGGCGGGATGTGGATGGCTTGATCCCAACCACCAAATCTTCTGCCTTAAATGCGCAACCACCAAATCTTCTGCATTAAATGCGTTTCCCGCCAGGATCTTGGCTTCCCGCCAAGGGGTAGGTACGTTCGTCCCCTCGAGCTTGCTTCCTGCTTTCTGCTGTGTCCAAAGTCTTGCAAGACGAGCGTCCGACGCTGCCCCTGTTCCAAGACACTCGCCTATGCTACGGTACGTACGTCCTCTGGGCCTTGGGGCTGAAGCCTGGCTCTGTTGGGGACGAACCTCGCCAGGATAATTAGAAAGGTAACTCGTCCGTAGCATTTTATGGTCCAACCCCCGTTGGGCCATTAACCCAACATGTATATATACTAAATGTAGCGGGCCGTGCTTATTGGCCCGAACGGGCCTACACCCTAACCCAATCCCGCCCATATCTTATTGCGGCCTGGCCCAGGCCTGGCCCGGTGGGTAAATATATATGCCCAAGCTCGCCCATTTGTGCGGGCGGGCCGGTTTTGTGCAGGTCTACTCATGGCTAATATAATATTACATATCATCAACAATGGCAAATGGTTAACTAACAAATACCGATAAACTAATGCTATTAACTGGTGTGTGGTCAAGATAATGAAGTTGAGAGAATTCTCTAAGTAGGAATAAAACAATGTCGAAGTGCAAAAATAGGACTTCTATGTTTTATAGGACCAAATATAAGAAAATTACCCTAACATGACAACATTACCCTTAATGAAAAAATAAAAAATTTCCCAGGCTCCCCAGCCCTCCGTCGATGCCCTGGTTTCGACATTCGATGATGCTACCTATGCGGGAAGCTTACATATCGGGCCTCATCCACCCTCTAGTAAGCCACCGCCGCCGTTCATTGTGTTTGCCGCCGTCATCCTTCCATGAAGCGTCGCTGCATGTCAAGTTCCTACAACCTCCAGCGAGAATGCAACTTGATATGAACATTGACATGATAATGGCATTTTGTATAGAAATAAGACATTTTCAGATTGTGGACATA